TGGCCAGAATGTAACTCTGCCCTGGCCGCCGTGCGGTCCCGATCTGGCACCAGCGGACTTCATTTTGTTCCCGAGGATCAAAAGAGACGTTAAGGGAACTCATGGGGTGCTGGAGGCTGAAAAAGCAGCTGTGACAGCCACACTGAAGGCGATTCCCATTAATTTCCAGGGACCCTTCAATGATTGTGTGAAGCGTTGTCAGCGGTGCATCGAAGCAGGAGAGAATACTTTGAAAAGTTCTAAAATTATAAACGGATATTGAATAAATTATATTTAAAAAAATACATTCCGGAAGCTTTTGTAACAGACCTTGTATACTTCTGGGAAATAGAGAAAAAACAAATCTGGTACGGTCATGTTATGCGCATGACATAAAGATGGCCAAAACGAGTCCTGCAATGGATACCGGTGGAAAGACAAGAGAGGATGAGCCAAACTTACAAGGGAGAGGAGAGCGCGAGAGGCTATGACAGCAAGGAAATATGCGAGACCTCTACACAAATGGAGTTAAAGACTGAGAGTGGAGAAACGGCGACGGCTGTACAGGAACAGCGTGCGTGTGTGTGTGTAATTGTTCCTGAATCAGACACTAATTGACTGGACTAGTAGGCCATCGTCAGAGCCATCCTTTACATTTTTGTGAACCACTTTTGATGTCACCAGTAGCCACACTATTGCGTGCTGTGTTTTTGATAGTGGGAATTAATGAGGGTTTGTTTTTAGTAAATATAGAATCTTTTAGAGAAATGTTAAACGTCTAGGTCATGGCGAGAGGTCGAAAATACCTTTTTGCAAATGAACATATTGCTGAAAGTGCATGTACCGCCAGTTTCGGCAGGGACATGAAATCTTCTTGCCAGTCGTAACATGCAGAACACTAGGCATACGTGGTTGCCTAAAAATTAGGGGCATCATTTTCGGCCACATGTTCTAGACGTTTGTAACATTTATTTCGCGACATCTGTATGTACAAAGTTGAAAGGCAAAATCGGATAACCAGTGCTTATCCAGGTGGTTTTAAATAGTTTTGGTTGCATTCCATTTCTATTATTTCACGGTGACCCCTTTTTCGTTTCGTAAGTTAAGTTACGTTTCTTTGGTTGCTTTTGCCAAATGTGCTTTGATTTGTCTGTTGCGCTATTCTTATATTAAAGTATTAACAAATCACAGCATTCTCATCGTCACTTAAGTTGACGTAAAAAACGTCATGTAGATTAATTAAATCTCTTTCAGGTTTGTAAATTTTAGAAGAAGAAAAAGTGGCGTTTGGCCGCCCCGGGTATTGGAAGTGAAACGTCTAAAATGCAGGAAAAGTATGTTAGAGAAGGGTTAACCCAAAGAATTGTTTGAACAATTCCTTGCGCGTTTAGACACTTATTTGTCATTATTAATAAACTGTAGCAGAAGATATGAAGATAATTCGCGAAAGGCGTGAACGTTTTGCGTCTCTGGCGCGTAGTTAAGCTCCAAAACAAGTCACTTTTCGTTAAGATCGTAGAATTGATTGTTGGCTTGCTCTACCGCGAGGATATATTTCACTTTGTGGTCCCGTTGGTCGTTAATGCATGCGAAATACGGTCTTCAGACTCCTCGTAATAGCAGATGTGATTTGTTTCGGTTAAAAAGTGAACTGGCAAGAAAATATTTTTTTTTAAACTCGAAACTTACGTTAAAAAATACCAAAATCACTGGTATTTTGAGACAATTATAACGAGACTGAAAAACATATTCTCTTAATTATTTTTTATTTAATTGCTGAAGAGTATTTGATATAAAATGAAGAAAATATCATTATCATTTGAATGCTGATAACGGTTTTAATCCGAAAAGGGGACGTAATATCCCTCCGCAGGAAAAGATAAACTGTCGAAAGGGTTAGCTTCTTTATTTGAAGAGGCACGTGCAGGTTGCCTTAAGCCAGCGATGATTTGCTGACTTGTTGCTGGCCAGTTCTACCAAGTAACAGGAACATCTTAGAATAAGGTTGCACAGCTTCAGCATTTCCGGAGAGCGCTGCTTGAGTCCAGCGTTTAGAGGGAGACTGCAGTACGACAATTCCTGTTATCTTCCACAACTACTCTGAGAGAAGATTAAGAAAGGAGGCGGTTGGTCACGCATTTGAATGCATGCACTGAATATTACATACGGCTAACCGTCTGAGCCGGATTTAAATACTGCTGGGCTCCCCAAGCACAAAATTAAGGTGGGATTCTTAGGGGGGGAAATCTCTAGATTTACTTTAAAAAATGCACATCGATTGTAGCATTATTTTTGGACAAATACAAACGAAAATTAACATTGTTTATGGAATTGAAAATTTATAATTTTATTTAAATATTTTATGACTTGCACGTCACGGCGCCCCTAGCCGAAGGGGCCCCGAAGTTACTGCTTATTTTGCTTGTAGGTGAAATCTGGTCCTCTTGACCATTCATGTAGTTATTTATTCGGTTAATGTCCGAGTGGTCTTATTGAGAGCATAAGAAGTCTGAACCCTTTCTGGCATCTCTGATACATTTGATCACAAGGCAAATACCTTGTAGAACTCTCGAAAATGTTTTCAACTTCAGGCATACCCAAAAACGAAATGTGTGCTCTGATCTTCGGCCAATTGACAGGAACGCCGGGTAATGAGAACTTACCTTTGAACTCGTGGACATTTGGCACCCTTCAGAAACGTGGAATGACTCGTCGCGCTTTCGATTCTCAGCCGATGCCGTTTGCTGAAAATATATTTCTTCATTTATTTGTGTGGCATCGATATTTTCATAATAGTGAAATGTAGCAATACCCTCTTAGAAGACCCAGCTCAGCAACTATCATTCGTTCTTTCCTATTCCGCGAAATTTTTTTTGTTGTTACCTGTTCTTCTAAATGTGTATATGTATTTTGATTAGTGTATTATACATGTGCGCTCTGTTATATATTTTCGCCCACACAACGCATCGCATTTTAATAATTTTATTGCTACGACCCAAGTTAGCCCTTTCTGGGCGATGTCTGGGATGAGTGAAATTGTTATTTGAAGTTGAAAAGTTACGGAAGAGTGATCATAAAAACAATTTACTTTGTTAATCAAATTTAATTTAGAAAACTCATTTCGATTAATCGAATTTGTCATTCGATTATCGTTAACAATCAGAAATAATTGTATTACAATTCTTAACTCTAAAATTACCGTTTTACGTTCTCGCACACTACTAAAGTGGGGAAATTAGCATAAAGGCAATCATGTTTTGCAAGAAAACAAAATTTAATTTACACATACTGTACAGATAACCTATTAAATAACATAATTGACGTCGGTGAACATGAGTGATAATTTGCTGCACGGTAATAAAAGTTTAGAAAATGAAACTTGCAATTAGAAATATAAGCATATTTTAACTGAAATATAACCAGTTCATAACTGATAACTACAAAAGCAAATCCATTTATTACTCTACAAAGCGGCCATATTCCATTTTCTTGTAAATGATTTCTTAGTCAAGCTTACTCAGAAATGTGATGAACTCCCACATTTTTCCAGACATTTTGACCTCCCGGAGTTCGTCGTTTGCGTGAAAGCATCATATTTTGAAGTCTGATATGGGAAGATACTTTTTCTTAATTTTTGCTGCGCTGATTTTTGGAATTTTTTCACAGAGATACAGGAATGCTCCACAGTTTGCCTTACCAATCGTCTTCACCAAACAATTTATCCAAAATATATATGATTGTCCAGCCATTATGTATATTTTACATTGAAGAGGGCCATAACTTTTTCTTTGGGTATGTTGTATGTACCCAGACACAGGTTAAAAGCCAAAGTTTTCGATGTCGTAAACCGCGTGCTACCTCCGGGAGGCTCGAACAACTGGTATTTTTGCGGCCTTCTTTCAGTTTTTCTCCAGCTCTTTAACCTTAAGACCTGTAGAAAAATAATTCAAATCAAATTTAAAGAGGATACAATTACCTACAATGGTTTATGGGTATGCTGCCAAAAAATATTTTTCGTATTAAACGTTTTCATAAGCAATCAAAAAATTAAGAACGAATGTGATGTTGTACTGGTTTAAGGCGCGATATCTAGCGGTACTTCTTCGGTGGCTTTGGCGGAGCGTGATTCGGTTTCGCAATTAGAGTTGCGAGGGGTGGTAATCGCTTTTGCACTCTCACTCTTCGGAACTCGATATCTGGGGAGGATTAAATAACGCCGACCGTGTTCCGCGTTAAGAGTTGCACAAAGTTGTTCATTAAGCTTGGGGAACTCTATTATTATAAAGGAAATGCCAACTGTAAATCCACTTATCATGTTGATCATAATCATGTGAATCATGATTCCAATGTATAATCACTTCACATTTTATTGCATTAATTAATAATGTTTTTTTGCCTTTATTTTTATGAGGAAAAATATTACATATTCGTAAAAGAATTTGGGTTCATGGATTCATTACAGTACTTGCGGTGTTTTGAATTTTTTTAAATATATCTGTACAAATAATTTAATCAAAGTGTTTTATGGCATATAAAATATTTTATACTATATCTATGGTCATTCCACATAGAGTTTAGAAATTATTAGGTTTGAAACAGACTTTTGCATCTCACAAAATTTTAGTCAATACAGAGTTGGTTAATTGGAAAAAAAATTTTTTTGTAAGACCTTGAAACTTGTATGAAGTATACAAAAAAACAAAAAGCAACTCTGTGAGGATGAATTAACATGGCAATTTTCCTTTGAAGAATGTTTTACAATGATTATGATGAATCATCTTTTAGTGACATAAATGATGAACAAATGATAATAACAAAATGTAGCTTGAAGCATCCTACATATTGAAACAACAGTATTTCCTACAATACATTTCCTTTTGTGGCAGGAGTGTGTGTAATAATAATAATTTTTGCCATGTAATATTTTACCAACATTATTGAAAGTGTGTTCTTAATTCATGTTATTATTTCAAGAATGAAAATATTGTAAAATAAGTAGAGTTTTTTTATTTTATTTATAGCCTGTGTTTCTGAATCGCACTTTGAGCTACATGAAACAACGTATGTCTCGTACCCACAAGCATCGAAAAGGCTTCAGTGTAGATTGTTTGATGGAACGTCTTGTAAAGAAGAACAGAGAACTGCAACCAGAAACATTAGGAGGTTACATGACTTTAACATTTCTTGGATTTTATGACAAACGAAGTGAGTTTTTCATTTAATGTTTTGAAATTGGGATAAAACGTGCACAGCAGAGTAGAGAATATTATCTACATTTATTTGTTTAGTTGAAACGCACCAAGAACCTGTGAAAGTGGAGACTCTTCTTCTAAAAATATGTCACAAAAAGAGGAAAGATGTTTCATCACCATTCATGCAGGTTGGTAATGTAATTAATAACAATATAGGATAGTAATTCATGTATGAAAAACAGAGAAATGAAATGTGTAAGAAATTGGGTAATTTTTTATTTAGTTCTCTTTGATTAAATGATAAATTCTTTTACTTCTAGGCTGTCCGGGTGACGCCGCGTCGTTGGCAGATAGGCCGACGTTTCGCCTGTCATGTCGCAGGCTTCTTCAGGGTAAGTGACGCCACTACCCTGGGGGTAGTGGGCCACCAGGGCAGGGTCGTCACTACCCTGAAGAAGCCTGCGACATGATAGGCGAAACGTCGGCCTATCTGCCAACGACGCGGCGTCACCCGGACAGCCTAGAAGTAATGGACTCGAGCCGCGGAAGCCTACGTGTACATGATAAATTCTTGTCGATAATTTTCTACATATATGTATCTAATAATTCAGTAAACATGTCTTTCAGGTATCTGTTGGCACAAGTGAAGTACCTATTAATCCTTCTGAAGATCACCCACCACCAAAGGCTCCTACCATTTCAATACCAACAGAATCATTTAGTTTATCAAATGGGCACTTAGTCAAGTCATATGTTCTTCTTCTTCGTGTTACTTGCACATCTTCAGGAAGTCTATCTGCAAATGCTGATGTGGACACAGGTAATTTTCATTGTGTTCTTAAAGTTGTAATGTGATTTTAAGAAATTCAAGAAATTACAGTAAACCCTAATTAACTCATACTCGCTTAACATGAATGTCTCCATAACATGAAAAAAATTTGAGTCATAACAAGGGAACTTAGTGATACAAATAATCAGATAACAAATGTTTATAACATGATCATAGTTTATTTTGGTCTCTTAAAATCAGTGTTGACAAGGGTTTACTGTATCTATTGAATTTCACTAATATTTAAACTTGAAAAATAAAAATGAAAGTATTTATACATAATTGTAAGGAATCATTTTAAACAATGAAAGATTAATTCTAATTTTTTAAACATACTTGTAAACTGAACATTTTTTAACAACATTTAAGTATATTACAGTAGAACCTCGCAAATCTGAAAATAATTCGGGATGCTGGAAAAATACATAAAATGTTTATTTGTAGAGTAAAGAAAGGACTTAATAATTACCGTAGAACTGAACAACTAATTATTGAATCACAAGTCGAATGAAATGTTTATTGCACTGGTAAGTATGATGTATATGACATGTTTACTTAACAGTAATTTTCACTGAAAGGGATTTGTGAAATCGGTAATCTTTTGCCTGAAGGATCTCAATCTGCTTGATGATGCGATCGCTATGCTACATTGCCATTTTCTCATACCGCACACTACGTTGCATTGGCTGGTAAACCTATCGATATATTTGTATATAAAAAATGCAATATTATCCAACAAAACCAAGCATTTTATTTCGAAAAAAGTTACAGAAAATACCATGGGGCTGGCTCTCGCAAGGACCCCAAGCATATTTTCTAGAAATCATTACATAATGTAAGGCGTGTATAAATGTATTCAATGAAAATGAAATAAGATAAAAAATTCATTGATAAACAATTATATCCGCTCAGTTTTTAATGAATTTCTGTTAAAATTTCCAAGAGACTAGGGTCATCAGCCACCCCATGGTACTCGGAGGGTTAATATTCATATAAAGGATTCAAAAGATTAGTTTGATGATATTGAAAATGTTTTAGGATTTAAGAACTTTTGTGAATGAGAAAAGTTGAAAAGAAATGAGAAAAGTTGTTCCACCTGTGTTAAAAATCCCAAATGAGTTGCAAATCTAGGAGTACATTATTCATTTAAGGTCAACTAAGTGAATTGTTTAATCATTCGTGTTCTGCTGCTTCAGTGCGTGCGTATTACTACAAATGTATTTGATGTTTTTTAAACAATATTTTTTTCATATCTATTTAGTTGAAACTTCAGTCACACAATATTTGGGAAGTTTTAGCATTTTCTGTGCATTTATATATTTGTTTATGAGATTAAGTGATCGGTGATTCCATACATTTTATACATTTTTTATGAACTTTAGTTAACATTTGTTACAATAAAATTCATTGAATTCACGTTTTTTGTTTAAGAACCTGCACAAAAACGTCGCAAGTCATCAGGTCCACAAAAGGGTCAGGTTGATGAAGTAAAATTATATGGTTCTGAACTTGTCGTGTATGACAAGCATAATCGCTGTTTATTAACTGATGGTGATTATGACTTGGTTCTGCAAGAGGTTCAGACAACTATCCGTGGATCACCAAAAAAGCATTCTTCTTGGGAAACAATTGGTGATATCAAGGATGTGAGTTACCTTGTAAGCATTATTTTATTTTCATTTTATTTTATTTTAAATTTAATTTTTGTAGTAATAGTTCATCACTAGAATGTATACAAATTAAAGTTTTTCACATTTAAGTTCATTTTTGCCTTCTTTCAATACGTGACTTTATAATCTGTTTTCTCGAACTCGAGTTTAATTGCTTTAAAATTGTAAATGTCTCGTTTAATTTATGTTATATTTATTACTTAATGCTTTTCTCACAACTACTTAATTAACTGTACATGTGTATTTTGTATGTGCGTTTTCTGTTGCTTATATCTTAATAGTTTATTTTGATTAGAAAATGGAAAGTAATGGAGAGTTGAAGTATAACCAAGGTAAATAAAATACCTATTTATTTTTTAATGTAACCAAGAAACAATATAACTATCGTAAATCTATAAATCAAACTCATTATCTGATGGAAATCTTATAAAATTTGTTGAAGTTTATATGTTAAGCGAAGTGGTTTTGTTTAGTGGGAACATTGCAAAAAAGGCTGTGGAAATGATGAAAAAGAGAAGTAAATTAGAGCAAATGCTATAAGAAATAAAGCTGTATTTAGGAAAGTAGTTTAAAACCAAATTTCCAAATTTAGTTATTTGGTATAGCTTACGAACTGGTGCTGCAGCATACACTTTCTCATATTATTTCTAACTTTTGTATTTTAAAGAAAATTCTTTGAGTTCAATGTAAATGAGACTTGTGCTATCTTTTTAGCCTGCTTTGCACTGCTCTGAAAATAGGAAAGTTTGGAGCCTTTTTGGAATTATTATTATTATTATTATTATTAATAAATGCATTAACTTGAAGCAACAATTACCTGACAACCACTAATTTTTACAACAAAAAAACCACCCCCACAAAACTAGTTTTACTGTCAAAACATTGCAGAATTTTGCTGCAACATTACAACACTCTTTTTTCTATGTAAATCTGTGGTGTGACAAGAAAGTAAGAAATGTATAACTGATAACTTGAAAATATGTTGGAATATAATGTTTTTGAAAATCTAATGATGCTTTCTAAATCTGTCCAAACATGAAACGTCAAAAGCAAAAGAAATGCTGCATTACATTTATTAAGAGAGCACTTAAGGAAAAAATGTTTAAGAGAATTTATCCTCAAGAGGCCACACAATTGTTGTCTTCATCATAATATTACCTTGTGAAATGTTACCCCCCACCCCAAAAAAAATCTAACAAATTTGTATATTAGTTGATAATCATTCAAACATATTTTAATATGAATTTTCGGACTGAAAATGAACTACAGACTTCAAATTCATTTTCATTACGTATTTTATTTTGTATAATATTTCAACATTAGAATGCCCAAAAGTGACTTTGCTTTCGGTACTATTTAAGTGTAACTTATTTGTTTCTACAAACAGCTTGAAATTTCATGACTCCTTGATTATTGTTTATCTACATGTTAAAAACTGAAGTGTCCAAAAATATATATTTCTTGATATGATAAAGGTGCAAGAAGGCATTTTGGACTTTCATTCTTCTTTCAGTCTGTCATTCATTCATTCTTTCTTACATCTTTCTTCCTTTCCTTCCTTCCTTCCTTTCTTCTTTCTTTCCTTTCCTTTCCTTCCTTTCTTCTTTCTTTCCTTTTCTCTCTTTCTTCTTTTTTCCTTTTCTTTTATTTGTTTTCTTTCCATTCCTTCCTTTCCTGCTTTCCTTTCCTTTCTTGCTTTCCTTTCCTTTCTTGCTTTCCTTTCCTTTCTTGCTTTCCTTTGCTTTCCTTTCTTTTCCTGTCCTTTGCTTTCCTCTCTTTTCCTTTCCTCTCTTGCTTTCCTTTCCTTTCCTCTCTTGCTTTCCTTTCCTTGTTTGTATGTAGATCATTTTGGAGGAATACTTTCAACTTGACTGATGCTGTTCCTGTCTTGTAGTATTATGTAGTTTTATGTATTTCAACGCAGAAAACTTTCAAGTGAGTCTCACAGTATTCTGGATACTTTCTAAAGAAATATATGTACATTTCTTATGTTTTGATTTGTTTTCTGCCCTTTTTGTACAATACGAAAGTTTAAAACTAAAGCAGAGAGTGCACTTACAAGTGTGGTTAAGTCCAGTTTTTATTCAAACATTTGATTTTTCAAGAATTGCAAAGTCTTTGGCTTAAAGATTATGCAATCCTAATTGCTGATGATAGAATTTCCTGATTGACTGAAATTCCATTTTCTTTAGTGTAATTACATTCTGTCTGTTAGCATGGTACATTAAATCAAAGCCCTATATTAGAAAAAGAACAAGACTGAGAATTTTGTGAAGAGAATCGTAGTAGCCAGAGTTCAGAACCATGGATTAAAAAAGAGAAAACTTGGTGGCTGAAGTAGCTAAAATTTCTGTGGAAATTGAAAGTATGAATATGTAACTGATATGTTAGTATTGTTATGCAATTGGGATTGTTATTTACTTTATGTAGATTTCTTCCTTTGTGTGTATTACAAACTCAAAACTTTCATTTATTACAAATTCTAAGATTTATAGTGTTAAAAATAAAAGCATATGTTAATCTTAATTGATAATTTATTTTAAATTAAAGAATTTATATTTAATTTATATTCAAAGTAATTAGATTTAGCCTGGAAAATGTGGAATTTGAAATAGATGTTTTACTAGCCACTGTACATTAATTAATATTGAATGAAGAATGCTCTAGTTCTGATAAGATAGATTAGGTAATGCCTTTATTTATAATTTATTGAGTACAATTTGATGGTGTTCATGTAATGGGAGAGAAGTCATTTGTTGTGAATGCTGAGTGTTTGTGCTTAGACACTTATGCATGATAAAATCAATATTCAGTAGTACCAATCTGCAGTTAAAATCAAATGAATTTCATATTTTTGAAATATTCTCTGCTTTTTATATCCACTTTTCTTCAATCTCACTTTTATAACTTATCTTCCTTTACTCAAACCCTATTGAATGGGAAATTGCCATAGGAAAAATTTCTTGGCAATTTTATCTTTATGTAACCGATTGTCTCTGACTTTTTAATGTCCATATATCTAAGTCACTGCCTCTAACAAGCTTTATAGGAAAGCAAGTGTGTTTAGCTTAATCTATGATCTGCTCTTCCATCTGTTTTGTTAAGCAATATCTTAATTGCCTTCGCTTTGAAAGACAATTTTCATTTTCTTTAATATTATAATAAAATATTTAGACGTGTTTATGTGCAAGCTCTTTTTTATTGCTAGTATTTATATAGTTATTGTTACTATTTGTTGTTTATTTTTCAGGAATGTGGCCCATTTGAGGTGTTCAGTAAAGGTCCAACATTAAAATTTCATCTTAGTTGGACTACAGAGCCTAGTAATGGCCTTGTTGATCGTCCAAAGCCTCTTCAAGCTGCTGATCCTTTAGATTCAAGTAGTAACAAGGAGAACCATCCAGGTACAATGGTTTATTGTATTTTTATCTAATGCATTTGACAAGTATTTTAGTGAATGAATCTGAGTCAGAACATATTGACACAAAAATTATAAATACTTTGTAGATAATTATTTTATGGTTTTACATGCATGGAAGTAAAATGAAAATCATGTATTCCATCATTGTCAATTGTTCTGTGGAACTGAAAATTTATTAGCCTTGTGTAGTTTTGTTTTGGTATGTAATGCCTTTATGTATATGCTTTTAAGCATTAGTAAAGAAATTGGTTAAATGTGTATTTGGGTCTTGTAATGTGCATGGGATAATCATGTTATAATATAGTTACACAGTCAGTAAACTTATTGCTGTTAGAGGAAACTGGTTCAGTTGCACATTTTTTAGGCCAAAAAACAAATTAAATTTGTCTATATCTATATCCAAAGTTTCAACATTTAATTTTTTAATTTTATTTTATTTTATTTTTCAGTAAGAATGTAAGACATGTAATTGTGTGATTTTTCTATGTGGGGAAGATGAGTGTTCGTAAAGAAATTGTAGAGGAATTGCCTCATTAGGAAATTGGATATTGAAGTATAGTTACTTGTTCTGTTATTTCTTGGATGTGATCGTATGTAGTTTCTGGTAGAAAAATTTGCATGCAGTCTGCATATATTAATTTGATTTGAAAACTTTGAATCTAAGAAAGAACAAAATGACAGTGTGTGTTTGTGAGATTTGTTAATCATATTTTTTTCATTTTACCTTTAAAAGTAAAATTTATCACAACAATCTTTCAAAGAATACCATTTGTTGATGATTGTATTAAGTAGAGGTAGTTTAAATGCATAATTTCTTATAACATTTCTTTGCACTTGCATGATTGCATGTTTACCTGAAATGTTTGTAGTCACGAATCTGCTTTAAGAAGTCACTCTCTTGAATTGAATGGGTAGAAAACTGTTGTAATTTGTTTTCAAAAAAACTATTGTGGTTAGATTTCAGAAGAGCAGCATGATATGGAAGTAAGAGCGAATGTGTGTGTGTATATGTGTGTATATTTTAAGTGACATACACATGTGGCACCAAAATCTATATTTATTATTAAGCATAAACTCTGTATGTTAATTTAATTCATAATTAAATATGTACACTGTGTTATGTATTTTGAAGCCACAGCTTCATATATTTTTTTAACTGACCAAAAGTATGGATAAATCACATGTCACTAAATAAGGTGGAATTTCGTTACATAATTTAGACACTTATGTTTTTCAAAGATCTTTCGCCATACTTATGTGTTATGGGAATAAAAATAGTAAGAATAGTAGTATAATAATAGTAGTTATAATAATATAATGTTCATGTTAAATAGGAACTATAAAATTAATTTACAGTGGATTGTTCATTATCTTTTTGTTTTGTTACTCATTCTGATTGGAAATTAGTTCTTAAAATTATTAATGTATAGTGAATGGAACATGGTAGAAAATGCAAAAATTAAAATTAACTAACATGAGATGGTGTCACCTTAAAAATATAAGTAGTTCAAGTTCACAGGAGAAATTTTGTTACACATAAAAGGCTAAATAGTTAAATTCTTTACTTTGTCAAAAACAAATTTCAATGGTTATTTAATGAACGTCACAAAGTTAATTAAAGAACATCAACATTTAAGAAAATAAATATGTGATTGGAGAGAAATTTTCATGAAGTTTAATCATGGATGTTAAGTATACATTACATTTTTTTTGTCTTCTTGCATTTTAGTGGTTTTTTTAGTTTGTGTTAATCTATTCTGACATTGAAATGGATTTAGTAGTGGGTATTGACTTTGTAGAAATGCATGGCATAGTTTTTGTTCATTTACTTTAGTTTTCCACTTTGTAGTTGTTGCTTACTGTCCAAGCTTTCTCAGACTTTGCAGTTTTATTTTGGTTAAAACGATCTAGAAAGGGGAAGTATTTTACTATTTGGATTGGTTGTTGGAATGAAGTACAGAATGTTTGTGTGTAAGGGAATTTTGTTTTATAAACAAAGAATGGACTTTATATTTAATGCGTATTTCTTATCCTAAAAATGATACTTTTAGAGATGATTATTGGTAAGTAGGGGGGGGGGGATTATTCTATTAGTTTCAAGTTTTTACATCAAGATCTAACTGCCAGAGTAAAATTTGACTCCTGTGCTATGTGTTATGAAGTCAAAATATCCATTTACCCTACTTTTTCTTTTTCTTCTTCTTCTTCTTTTTTTTTTTTAATTTCTTCCATGTTCTGATGGAATTTGTCATAAGAAATACTAAGATCATTTTATACAACATACAATTATCATTCACTTTTAAACACCTTATTAAAGTTCTTTTCTTTATACATTTTTAATTTTTTTTCTCTTTAATGAACTATCTCTTGAGAGTATTTTTTTTTCTTACTCCATGTAAAATGCTCTCTCTTTTGTAGATGAGAATTAATTGGTTTCATTATTGTATTTAAATTATTAATTCACAATTAACTTCCCCCAACCCTGTTTTTGGGTATTCTTAACAAGTAGTTTTCCTCAAAAGATTCTTATATTCGGTTTTGAAAATTGCATAGTGAGCAATTATCCAAATTGGGCTCAATTATCATACTAATATTACAATAATAATAATAATAATTAATAATAATAATAATAACAATAATAATAATAATTAATAATAATAATAATAACAACAATAATAATAATAATAATAATAATAATTAATATTAATAATAATATAATAATGAAAGTAAATACTGTAAAACTCTCGTATATTAACTACACATATTGCTGTAAGATATAAATAAATATCTTTGTTCGTGGCGAGGCTCAGGTCATTTAGCCTGCTTCTCCGCCTGACCACTTTCAAAATAATTTTCATACTGTAGATCATGATACGGTCATCCTAAGAGAAGTACGTACAGAATTTGGTTGAAGGGTTTCTCACATTGAAGACAGGAATGAGAGCAAAGGAAGGAGGAGTTGATAGAAAAGGGAAATGCTCTCACAGCATTTGTGAGATTAAATTTATTTCAAGTTAGGGATGTATTGAAATTAATCATAAATATATCAAATTGAACACTTTGAGATTTTACTCAAATTTAGAGAAATTATGTATTGCGACTTAGCAAGTTAACACAGAAGAGGGTTGGGAAGAGCTTGCTTAAGTCATAAAAATGTTAATTAGTACTACTAATTATTTCACAGAGGTCTTGAAGGAGCTGAGATTGCAAATTTTTTAATTACCTTTAAAAAAAACTAGAAAGGGAGGGAATATGTCAGCATACAAGTGAAAACACATACGAGTCTTCAGAGAAACGGAAAACATTGGAAGATAATGTATTTCATAATAATAATAATAATAATAATAATAATAATAATAATAATAATAATAATAATAATAATAATAAAAATAATAATAATAATAATAAAAATAATAAAAATAATAAAAATAATAATAAAAATAATAAAAATAATGATAATAATGATAATAATAATAATAATAATAATAATAATAATAATAATAATGTATGAGAATATATTATAAATCTATTCACTTATTAAACTAAGAAGGAAAAAAAGGAAATAAAAATATAGATATAATCAATTTAATTTTAGAAATGGTTTTCAATTTAAAACCCAAATTCAAATAGTAGAAATTATAAAAATTTAGGAGATATTTACCAATTAGAATGTTCCCAAGACTTGAAAACCTGACCCAACATATCCCACCTGTAATTCAACAATGTATACTACTTTTATTCATGGGACTGCAAACAACGGACTATCCTGGCTTGCACCTTAAGTGATTGAGTAAATTCAGGTAAACCTCAATCAGGATGGCGGCTTAATTCCAAGGCACAATACTCTCCCAAAAACACAATACAAGTAAGGAATTTCAGTGCACACTAAATACAATCAAGAAACAGAAATATTTTCAATTAAATATTATGTTTTCACACTTGAAGAAAGTTATAAGAAATGATGAACTGAAACAGAAAGATTGCAATTTAGTAAAACACATTTAGACAAAAATAAAAGCACACGAATTATAATATTTTGAAAATATACATATGTGGGCAAATTCCCCTATGCATACCACATTGCACAAATGCATATTCACATACTTATAAGACATGTATGCACACATGTGTATTGTAACAAAAGTGATGTATGGGTTGAAGGTTGGTTCCTCATGCATTATTTAAAAATCATTAAGGGATGTACAAGTATGTTTTAAAGATAAATAACTTGATTATGGAGAAATTAAATTATTTAGTAAGGGTAAATGTAAAAATAAAATAAAAAGAAGAATGATATTTTTGTGTCAGATTTGTTCACCTTTTAAAATCAAATAAATAATAGTACTAAAATTAGAGGAAATAGAGAGTTAAGTGACATAGAATGATTATTAAAAGTAATAGAGGAAGGAAACAAAAAGAGTGAGGATTTTAATGACCAGAAGAGAGAGAAAAACAGAGGGGGAAATATGAGAAAGGATCGAGGATGAGATGGACGTATTTAATTGAAAAACGGGATAGAATGTTGTATGATAGGTAGGATTGGAATAAAAATGGGTCACAGCACTGAAACAGTACGGCGTCCACCTAGTCCTCAGTTGAAGCAGACGAGCGGTGGCAATGTTGTTAAATAGTATTTTCATGAATCCAATTAGAAACTTTTTTTTTAACTTTGGAAATGCCCTACTATTTTTTATAGTGAAGGGAAGATAGTTCCAACCACGGATGGCTGTGGCAGTGAAAGATTTTCTAAAAGTAGAGATATTGTGGTTCGGAATACAAATAAGACGTGACGCTTGGGCACGATGTAGATTCATAATCTGAAATCATTGTGAAAGGGTGGTATGATGAGCGCTGTTTAAAATCTTGTTGAGGAGGAGAATGCAGTGAAGTAAATGCCTTTTATCGACGGTCAGAATTTTAGAGGGTGTGTACAAAGTTGAAATATGGCCGTATTTTTTTAGGTCAAAAATAAAACAAATGCATGCATTTTGAGCTACTTGTAACTTATGTTGCTTTTTTGAAATTTGTCAGTCAATCGGAAATCTCAGTAATCAAAGTGAAGTATAAGGAGGAATTGTACAAGGGTCTGGTGAGTTTTTGTAGGTTAAAGAGTGTGCATGCGTTTTAATACATGCAGGAGTGCGAACACTTTTTGAGAGATTTTATCAAGTTGAACATTCCAGTTTAGAGTATTATCCATTAGCACGCCTAAATTTCTCGTCGTTGCACCACGGTAGAGGAGTTCCATTTATGCAAATGTCAGGGAGACCGGAAAGTGATGACGTTTTTAGGGAGTTTCTATAGCCAATTACAAGAGACTGAGATTTATGGGGGGTTTCTGTTGCCCCATTGATGACCAAGGGGAGAGACTATGTAGGTCTTCGTTGATTTTTTGAGCAAGTTCGAAATCGCGAGAAGGGGGTCCGCTAATATACAATTGAAGATCATCGGCATACACGTGATGACAACGATTTTTATTGACTTACCAATATCATTAACATAAATTAGAAAAGCGAGGGGTCCTAACACTGAGCCCTGTGAGACGCCACACGCTAATGACGATGTGCATGACTCACTGTCATTGCACACAACTTTTGTTGCCGCGCAGATAGCTGGAGATCCATTTGAGTGCGAATGTGGCACATCCCATGTTTTTTTTATCTTTGCTAACAAAATATCATAGTGAATAGAATTGAATGCCTTGCTAAAATCGTGGAGGACAAGAATTCTGATTCTACTGTTGTCTATTACATCTCTGGCGTCTTCAATCACATTAAGGAACGAAGTTCCTGTGCTATTACCGGGTGTAAACCCTGACTGTTTTTTTTTATTAAAAATACTAAAATTTTGAAGGTATTCAGAAGATGCTCAATCTGTTTCCTGGCGATATTTTCAAGAACTGTTGATGTTGTTGGCAAGATACTGATGGGATGGTAATCAACAGGCGTCATTGAATTGTTGCTTTTAGGGACGGACAAGTTGTATCTTCCAGCTCGAGGGAAGCCTTCGCCGCCCATTAGCGAGAAATTAATTATGTCGGGATTGCTACGTCAGTTCAGAGCTTCAGCAACTTTGCATTGATTCCGTCGGTGCCGGAGGCGTTTGATTTTAGACTCAAAATGAATTTAGTGATGTCGGTGGGTGTTACTGACGCAAAATATGTTTTAGCGAATCAAGTAACACATTTATTTCTGTTGAATCTCGAATATTTCCAACAGTTATAGTGCGCAAATATTTTCAGAGCAATTTAGAATCACAGTAATGTTGAAAAATGGAGTGATAATATTTCATTTTGACCATTCTCAACATTTGGGAACCACGATTTATAGTTTTTTTTATACGTAACATGGTCGTTGTTGTTTCTGGTTTTCCCGAAAAACTCTATACGCAGTGACCCTATCATGAATAAGTTAGCGAATTTCACTATCCACGGAGCGGCGGAATGTGCCACACGTAACGCCTTTTGTAGGATATGTCAATTTATAAGCCCATCAAACAATTCCGTAAATGCTATTTTACCAATGAGCGAGGTTTCATTGTGTACAAGATTCCAAGGGGCGGAAAATCCATCAGAAACGAAGGAATTTGCATCGAAATTCTTATCTCGATATTTTATTTTCGGTATTTGGGACACTTTACATACATAGATAAGATCATGTTTTGATACTCCTGGAACAGAAAATTGTCCATGCGAACATGCTCTTTCTGAACACCCTTGCCTTTGTCGACGCTTAAGCTAAAGGTCTCTACCGTTTCCGAAAAATCAGTGTGTTAAACGGAAATGATACCTGTGCCATTTTTACGAGTTTTCTCGCTCTATCCATTGAAATTATTAATAGTTTTTGAGGGCATTTGAGTGTGTGTGTGTGTGTTGTAATCCTATGCTGCAAAACACTCAGATGGCGTGCTTTTCGCTATCAAGAACAGTGTAATAAAAAAAAATTGCAGCCAATTTTGAGAATTTTTATATTGTTGAGTCTTCATATAAAGTACCACCAAAATCAAAATATCCTTTTCAAACTCAAGAGTGCCTTGAATAATCAATAGGGGAATATAAAATTTGCGGGAAATCAGCTGAACGGCTTAGGTTGATCATTGACGATGGACGGACTTTGTACAGAGAAGGGAGAAGAATATCTAGCCCG